GGAGCGGGGGGGGGGGGGGGAATTTGCTAGTCAATTGAGGAATGACTCCTTCCCCTCCCAGAGCCAGGGGGGCAGAACCTGGCACCCAGCCCCCCTTGCTCCAAGCAGTGGACTCCACTCCCCCTCAGTGCAGGGGGTAGCACCCAGAGGCCTTGGCTCCCAGCTTCAAACCTGGCCCCATCCCTCAGAGCTAGGGAAGAAGCAAGACAAGCCGCCTCGAGGGAGATGTTCCCCCAGGGCCTGCCCTGGGGCCAAGAATGCCTCGGGAGCATGAAGACGCCGGGGAAAGGTTTGCACGTGGATGCTGAGCTCTGGCAAACTCGGCACGGGGATGGCCGCCTCGGCCCCGGGAGCTAAGGGAGGTTCTGGCCCATGGGGCAAGAGGAAGGGCTGGGGGGGGCAGCCGTGCCAGGCTGAGGGTGGCTCTTTCTTCAGGCCTGCGTCTCTCCCGTCCCCGGGAAACTGGGCTTGGCAGGGCCTTTCCGCCTGACAGCGCCCGCTCCGGAGAGGGCGCCCCCCCGCCTCTTCACCGTGGTAACCCCGGCAGGGCTGCGTCAACGCCAGCCTCTCGGCGGCAAAGTGCCTCGGGGCTCTTGTTTGGGCAGTGAGTGGCACCGCGGGGGGCGAGGGGGCGACGGTTCGGGAGGAGACAAGAGGCTCCACGGCCTGCCCGACACTGGGCGGGGTGGCACGTTCCACCCCAGAGGTGGCCGCATCTCAGCGCCAGGCGAGAGAGCCATGTGGAAACAGCCCCCTCTAGGCAGCACGGGACTCTTCTAGGGGCAAACCCGCCCAGCCCTCAGGCTCCAAACTGCCTCCTTGCCTGCCCCTAGGCCTGTCTGTGGATCTCAGACCCAGCCTCCCTGCCCAAAACCCCCGATCCTCCCGCCCGCTGTCAGGTCTCGGGCGAAGGTCCAACCCGCCCACCCGTGTCACTCAGCCGGGGTCCCGGACACGTTGAATGTGCCCTATAAATAGCCCCTTCTCACCAGCTGCTGCTGCTGAGGGTTCTCACGGGAACCAGGCCCTGCTCTGGAGGGTGGGGAAGCCGAAAGGGCTGGAGCCCGGCTTGCAGGTGGGATCTGTCTGTGCCCATCCCCGTGGCATCAGATCCCTTGGCAGGCAGGCCGGGTGGGCTGAGCTCACGGCCTTGCCCCCAAGGGGGCTGCTGGAGAGCGGGGCCGGTGCTCTGGGTCTCTGTTCCATCGCTGAGACTGGCAAGAAGCCCAACATGCCCCCGGGCCAACCTCAGCACCGGGGACTCCCCCTCTTCAATCCGTTCCTGCTGCTTCCCCCTAGGACGCCTCTCCCCGGGTGCGCCCCAGCTCGGCTGGGGAGGGAGGGACGGCCTTGCCCCCAAGGGGGCTGCTGGAGAGCGGGGCCGGTGCTCTGGGTCTCTGTTCCATCGCTGAGACTGGCAAGAAGCCCAACATGCCCCCGGGCCAACCTCAGCACCGGGGACTCCCCCTCTTCAATCCGTTCCTGCTGCTTCCCCCTAGGACGCCTCTCCCCGGGTGCGCCCCAGCTCGGCTGGGGAGGGAGGGAGACGGCCGCCGGCAGGCACGCCCGCCGGGTCCCCGAGC